ACATTACCAATTCTAAACAAAATACTGGCCCTTTATATGATAATTACCGCAAATTTTCATCAATACCGCAAATTTTGCATGCATAGTGGGTTTGGGATGCATTGGCAGTGTGTGTGTGTGAATGTCTTTTGGTAAGGTGGAGAATAAATGCCTAGGGGTACATTGTAGTTTGTACCGGAGGATGTGGAGTGTGACATTTGGATCACGAGTGAAGATGTGATCAAATGTTGGAATCCTTTATCTGTGAAGAGACCCTGATCAAGTGGAGTGTGAAAGAGGCACTTCTATCACTTCTATTAGGTGGAGACCCATTATCCACTTAGGTTGGAGAAGTGATGTGGTGATGGAGAATTATCTCGAGAACTTAGGATCTATAGAGGCTTACCAGTTAGACATGTGTTTTTTTGAGTGATTAGTCTAGTGAGCATTGTGGGCGATGATGTGAGATATGTGTTTCTAAGTGTGAGCAACACAGAATGGGATATGATAAGTATGGTGAGATCTTCTTCGTGAAATCGTTTATACATTTGTTACGTATGTGTTGGCCTGTTGATTGACTTGGTGTTAATCTGTTGTTCTGTGTGAACATGTTTGAAATATCTGTGTTATCCTATTTGATTTCTTCGTCGCATATTTATTTGCTCTTGATTGATTGCTGTAATTATCTGTTTCTACTTGGGTGCTCTTGACTTTAGCCCTAATGAGTACATGAAGCAGGTATGGTATGTGTTTCGGGTTCGAAACACGAGGTAAGGTCTGTGATACCAATTTTATTAGTTACCTTGATTGTGCAAGTATAAATTGTGTGTTTTGTTTGCTCGCAGATTTTTTGGGAATCAAGGTGGAGATTTGTTGGGTTTTTTTATACCAAATAAATCCGAGCGATGATGAAAAACAGTTGTCTGGAATTTATCGATACCATACGTTTGGCTCGACTCGAATACTACAGACACTTTTGGAAGGTCCAAGTTGGGGTTGTGATTGGTTTGTGGTTTAGGTTTAATGTTAGGCCCATTTATTGATATTAAGTTGACCCATTCCTTTTGGCCCATTTTAGGTGACCTAATCCACTAGATATATACCTATCTCCCCAATACTAGAAACGGTGTGGTGCAAGAGAAGAGCCGTGAGAGAAAGAGAGTAGCCCGATTTCTTGGTGACTTTGGAGCCATTGTCTTCTCCTTGTTTCTTCTTACCTTAGTGGTTTATTGCATCCACCCATTATTGATTCTTTGTGGGTTAATATAGATAGTATAACTTGTGGCAACCAAGGTGGAGGGAAGTGTTTGGGTCGAGCTTGAGTTGTGTGGAGTTGATTGTAGTTGTTACTACACCAGAAATCACCTTTTGCATCGGCCAAAAAACGCTGTAAAAGGTCTTTTGCAGCATTTTAGCGTGTGTTGCGAGGGTCGGTGTTGCCGTTGAGGGAAGAATTTTTGCAGCGTTTATTCACCGTTGTGAAAAAACCCATTTGCAACGTTTTTTAAACGTTGCAGTAGACCCTTTTGCAGCATTTTTTAAACGTTGCGACAGACTATTTTGTAGCGTTTTTTTAGATTTTTTTTTTAAAGATTATATATGGTAATTGACCGAAAAAAATGAAAATGCCAATTTGTGAACAAATTTTGAAATTGCATAAAAATTGATTATTTCATTACAAATTTTTGAATCAATACAACATTAGAATGTAATACAATATAACATTGAATCAATACAACATTTGGATTTCCTGAGCATAGCTAAAAAAAATTGATCTTTCTATTCCAAATATATGTGGGATAACTTTTTTATCAAAAGTCTAAAACATGCAACAATTTCCATAAACAAGTGGTGGCAACAATTGAACTCGTGTCTTTTGCATGCTCGAATGCCATGTTAAATCACATCCTTAAAGGTTGTGCTCCTTACTTCTATACGTGGTACTTCAAATCCAGTGTGGTTGTAACATGCTTGGCGAAAACGTCGAACTTTTGGCCTTAAAGACTTTGCCGCTCGCCCACCATCAACACCAAATTCATTGAACCTAAAAGCACATAAATATACCTTAAAATGTATGCATGAATAAAGACAATAATCCAATAACACTCACAAAAGAGCAGATGCCTACTGTGGAATAAAATGTCAGCGAAGGAGAAGCCAATGATTTTCCCAGCATCCCTCTATATGAGAATTTTTTTTTGCTGAAACAGGAACATAAAATCTATTAAACACATCAGAATAATTTTGTTTAATGTAAAATCAACCACCACTTACATATGAAAAAAGGTTACTACTTATCCTTCTAAGATTGGAGCCCCAGAACTACTTACACCTGTACACCCTTTCCTGCCCCAATAAAAATTCCTATGCTTTATAATACCTAATTAATAAACGAATGATACAACAATTCCTTTACTTTGAAATGCCTAATTAATTATGAACGTATAAAATTAACTTTCCCACACTTGGACATCTGTAGGCATAGTTTTCATAACTTAAGCAGAAAAGCAAGGCACACATTTCATCAAATCAAAATGTATATCAAAGATAACAAACTTCACACATGTATAATATTTTTAAAAAACTCAGAGTTACAACTGTTATAATTAAATTTCAACAAATATCAGGAGATCTGAGAAGGCTTTTGCAATAGTTTTTCGCTAAGCTACCCATGCAACATATGACTCATTTTCTTCAAATCCTTTAGGTGCAGAGTCTTCCCAACATTGAGCTACCAATGCTAATGTTGCAAAGCCCCTTTCAACCATCTAATAGATTCAGTTTCAGTTAAACCATAAATATCCACACACATCTACATGTATGCATGTATTATTGAGTAAGTGCATGTGTTAGGAGAGTTACTTAATTCATCTACATGCTAGAAATAAGCCAGTTCTAATTCAAATTCTGGTCTTGCCATGCCCAAGCACCGTTGGGAGTTTCTTAATCTACAATCTAGAAAAATGAAAATCTCATTCAACCTCTATTTTAAACACCCCACCCCCCAAGCCTGACAAATCATTCGTTCACAAAAAACCCAAAAGGGCATACTGGAGTTGCATATAAACTAATTAAATTGCAAGTTAACCTAGTAAGAGAAAAGAAAAATTGGTGTTTGGCCTTAACTTCCAACAAAAATGGATAGTGAGGATAAATTGCTAACTAGACCACAGTTTGACATATTTAGTGGATCTTTTGTTATGTCCTAGACATTAAAAGCCACCTATAACTTCAACATCGATGTTGGTTCCAATGCCATGATTTAAACATCCACCATTCTCACCTCCCAACAATGGAATAATATCAGGGATATAAGGAGCATCATTTTCACTCCCAATCTCCATTAATGTACCAAGAAGCTGTAAATAAACTGAAGTCTTTTCTTCATCATGGCTAATCCTACCAACTACCATTTGAAGCAGAGGTAACCATATAGGTCGCATGTAGTCATTCTGCCAATCCAAAAGTAATTGCCTTCACTTCGAGAAATATGATACCAATACACTAGTTTCAGTCTTAGACTAAAAACTTACATGCTACCATATTTTGAACAACTCAATGCTTAATCACATATCCCTCCAGTGAAAAATAAAGCTACAGCATAATAGCTTTAATAATCACCATATAGCCTCGTATTTAAGACTTAAATTGAAAGATCATATCTTTACATACACATATAATATTACCTCAGAGAGGGCAGCCAGAAGGAGAATGAGGTTAGAGAGAAATTTTGATCCCGGCAACTTGACAGTGCCAAAGATGTCTTTGATAGGCTGCAGCACTATCTCCGATGCCATAAACGGCTTCTCGGTTGTGGCCACCGAAGCCATAACCTTAACTGACCTATTTTACACAGCAAAACTTGAATCTTTACTCGAAACCCACAAACAATTTGATGAACTTTTAACATTTTTTGAGCCAAAAAATTGCAGATTGTGACGGAAAACAAGAAGATTTAGGTTTTAGAGCATTAGGGCCAGGAAATTCTAAAAGAAATCAATTTCGCACCGACATTTGTAAAGATACAAATCCTCAAACAACTTCTTATTCTCCTCCTCCAATTTGTGGACCTGAATCACTGCTTCATTTGCCTTCTCATCTGCCTTGAGAACTACTTCGATTTAAGATCTGAAGAATCGACGACGGCTAGAATAGTCTAAAAATGGAAAGACAAATGAATTGGGTATTTTTGTAAACCTAAGACTTCGGTGGGTCGGGTTAACCCGGTCCATAATTAAAAAAATTGGCCCAACCCAATTCGCCTACCCCTTTACTTTTTGCAACATTTAATAAACGTTGCAAAAAGTTGATCTTCTGCAATATTTAATAAACGTTGCAAAAAATCAAACTTTTCGCAACGATCGATAAACGTTGTGAAATACACTTTTTGCAACGTTTATTTATAAAATGTTGTTAAAGCTCAATTATATTAACCAATAGCAACATTCACTTATTAAAATGTTGTGATAGACCACTTTAGCAACACTTAACTACTGAATGTTGTCTTTTATGTGTTGCAAATGCTCATTTTTGGCGTAGTGTGTTTTTTAGCCCGGGAAGTAGAGTTGGAACACCTAAATTTAACAAGCACTAATACGAGTAGCTTTGATGCTTGAAAACTTGCTTCTTTTGAAAAGGTCTTTCGTAATTGCTTTCTATAGAGATACCCTTCATAAATTTTATTTGGATGATGAATATGTGTTAGCCCCTTTCACAATATGTCTCTTCGTTGAGAGGTTAAAACTATCACAATTTATATGGCCAAGGCTCAAGCGTCATAGTCATGTTGAGTCTTTGACACATGCCTTCACTTTTTCACTTCGAATATTTAACAAGAACATTCGGCTCTTTGTCATTAAAACTCCAACAATCAAGTTTTCATTGCAATCTTTTATTATCATTTGTTTATTCTTCTTTAGGATGTCATATCTTTTCTCCTAAAGGTGGCCCAAACTCAAAGTATTTGTCTTCATGTAAGGAGCATAATTGAAGTTGGAAATGTATTGGTGTTCTCCGTTCTTCATTTGAATGAGAATTTTACCTTTACCTTAACTTTCACCTTCGAATTATCTCCAAATGTAATAGGGTCATTTAGTTCTTCAAGTTCTATGAAGATAAGATTTGTCTCCACACATATAATTACCTGATCCGATATCTAAATACCAAGAATTGTTGCCTCTTTCTTGTACTTTGTACGTCAAGAGTAAAGTTCTTTCTCCTTTGTGGTTATTTTCACCGTTGTTTAACTGCTCCTCCACATTTTTACTCATTCATTCCAATGCAAAATGATTAAGTTTTTGACAATTGTAACATTCAATTTGAGATTTATCATAGCTTCTACCATTGTTTTTTCTTCCTTTTGTTCTTTGAGAATTATGTCTTCCTCGCCCTTGTGACTTGTATGAATGTCGATAATTTCCTTTATTATTGGACGAATGTTGAAAATTTCCATCTTCTCTGCCTCTACCTTTTTGTTTCCTATTGTTCTTCTCTTCCTTGTCTTTCAAAGAGTTGCTCCCCCGAATCTTTCTTTTTTCTTTTTCTACAACTTCTCCTTGTGAGTTTGTAGGGTGCCCACAACTTCTTAAATGATATTTTTCTTTCAAGTCTTTTGATCTTCAATTGCCACCACAACAAAAATATTTTTTTTATACATAGATCGAAGAATTATTTCATTTTACTTCTTTGGCATACATATTTATCTCATTAATAACCACCAATACTCATGAAAAGTAATATAAAATATATTCAAATTCCTTCATAGATAGGGCTTCATATTCTCATCTCGAAGATTGAAGATGAACTTTTTTACTTTATTTGTACCTTTGTATGTATTTCTAAGAATCTCTCCTGCTTGCTTTGAAGTGGTAGCATTTGACACCTTTTAAAAAATTGAATCGTCAAGAGCTTGATGAATCATGTTAAGAAGCTTTTGATCATTCCTCTTAGTTGCTTTTTGCAAGTCTCTTCGTGGTTGAGACATGCCTTCTTCAATTTGAGGTTCAAAATATCTCTCTACCAAGTCCCACAAATCTTGAATTTCAAGATATGCCTCCATACAAATACACCATATGCTAGTTATGATTAGTGAGTCAAAGAATGGGAAGAGGTTTGTTTGCCATCTCTTGTTTTCACATTTTTCTAACGTCACGCTAACACCGCATTTTTTTTTTTTTGTAAACTTGGAGATGGAACAACTTTTAAAAGAGGAGGAGATAATATTCAAGAGAACACTCAGTTTATTTCTTAACACTTCAAAACTAACTTATTGAAAATGAATACAATCACTACCCTTTTATAGACTTCACAAAACGTGTATTTAATCTAATACATGTACTAGTTATTAAATTCAAACTAATCCCTAAAATAATTCATTTATTTTTCAAGTACATGAATAAACTAGTGCATTAATGTATGCATGAATAATCCCAAAACACATAATGAACTTGATTAAATAAACGATGAACTTGACTAAATAAATTGCATTTATATTTTCAATAATTGTAAAAAGGAAAAATAACAGAATTAGAAAGTTAGACTAGAATATGGCAATTACAGTAATGTAGATAATAAGTTGCACATTGCAAAAGCTAGTGGTAACATATTAATCTGAAAACTAAAAGTGGTGAACGGTTATTCCACAGGAAATTGAGAACCATCACAAGGAAGGCGCAATTCAAGCCCAACCCCAACATTGGCACATTGGTCAACAGTGCAAGGATTTAATGGTTGCCCAACTTTTTGCAAGTGGAATAGGCTTATGAAGAAAAATGAAATCTGCATTCTTTTCATTCGACTACAACATTAGGATTCTTAGTTTAATTAATCTTCATAATTTCATGATTTGTATGTAATTAATGCATTTTTCACATTAGGCTTATAATTTTTCACTAAAAAAAGAAAGCTTAGGAAATTGGTCGTGATTAATTAGAATTAATACAATGCATCATAAGAGGTTAGCTAAAATAATCCGAGAGAGGAAACATACATTATCAAATTATCGAGTTGAGAGTAATTTGGTGAATTAGTGGTCAAATTTAGTCAAATTAATGAGGATAAATCTGAGATAACATGTTAATTTAAAAATGATGTTTTAATAATAAATTGAGTAAACAGCAGATCTTAACTCCAAATTAACAGCAACGAGGAATCAATAGATAATTTTCAAAATTTTGGCACAAATATTAGGAATCTTTCCAGTATAATTCGAGAAAATTGATTGGAGAGTATAAAGTATGCAATATAGTATGGAGACCGAATGTACACGGAAGGTTCTCGACCAGGAGTGCTTGGGATGTGATCCGAGTAAGGGCTCCTATGGTGGAGTGGGGGAAATGGGTATGGCATAATGCTCTTCCTAAGAGGGCTTCGGTTGTGATATGGAAGGCTTTGTCCGGGAGTCTCAGTTTTGATGATAGAATACGTCAAGTTGGAGTGGCTATGGTGTCTAGATGTAACTGTTGCATTACTGGCCATGAGGAGGATGCTAACCATGTTTTAAGCACTGGAGACTTCGCAGATGAGGTGTGGAGGAGACTTTCTTCGACTCTTGGTGTTAGGTGGCGTGAAAAAAAGCCTGGTGGGATAGAATAAAAATTTGGTGGGCCCGAGCTAAAAGATCATCTCAACTAGGAGGCTTATAGGGGTTAATCCCATGTTTAGTAACTTGGAGGCTTTGGATTCGAAGATGTAGAGCAAGGATGGAGGAATTATATGAATCAGTCAAAGATGTTGTTCTGTCCATTAAATCTTGGCTGCAGCACTTGGCAAATAATGTTACAAAGACCAGAGTATTGATACGTAAGGAGGAAAAGACCCTAACAGACATGGGCATTCCTTGTATAGTCAGGAAACAATCACATGTATGTTTCGTGACTTGGAAAAAACCAATTGCTGAGAGAGTAAAGATAAATGTAGATGGAAGTAGCTTGGGTAACCCAGACCAAGCAGGTGGAGGAGAAGTGATTCGTAACGAAAAAGGGATGGTGCTGGCAGCATTTGCCACTAATTTTGGGATAGAGTCGAATAATGAAGCTGAGCTGAGAGCTACTATTGAGGGACTTAAACTTTGCCAACATATAGGAGCTTTTCATGTTGATCTTGAATGTGATTCCAAGATTGTTGTAGATTGGATGTTGAAACTCAAGTGCACAGTTTGGTACTTGTGGGATTTTGGGGAGAAGTTATTGAATTTAATGAGTTTATTTGAAATTCAGGTTTCACACTAGTTTAGGGAAGGGAATCAAGTGGCGAATTTATTAGCAAAAATGGGTGCACAAGGTATAACGCAGCTTTTCACATCTAGTACTAGCTTGCCTGTGTATGCTCGAGGCCTAGTTCGGTTGGAACGCATAGGAGTTCCCTATCTACGTATGCAAGTTGTTGGTCTAGTTTTCTAACCCATTGTCTGTAAGGTTGTCTTGTCACCACGGTATTCTTCCGCCATAAGTGAGGTTTGCTTTCAATAGAACTTACTAAAAGAAAAAAAGTGGAAATTTAGCAATCATGAATTGTGTTGGAGATGCTCTGACCGTCGACTCTAGTTAGGCCAACTTATAACTATGGGTGGGTCTTTGGTTTCTTGAATCCAATCAACACCTCAACTTGTTATCGGCCTTATAAAGCCAAAATTGGTGAACTCGGACTAGACCCTCAACCTTTTGTACCGAGGACATCGTTTGGCATCTTAAAAGGCAAATCCCTAACCTCTTGTCCACTCCATGCTCGAGGCTGCCGTAAGAACATCCCTGCCAACGATTACTCCTCTACCAAGGTCCGGTTAGGCTATCGATAATTACCCCATAACACATGACCTCCTAGAATGGCACACACGTCCTTTCATTTGACAGGATGCATGATCATTTGTGGCTCTAATGCCCGAGGTCTCTTGCGTAACATGGTCGAGCACAAGTTGAACGCACAAGGTCTCGTGAATTGGTGAACCCATGCTAGACCATCGACCTCTTGTCCTGTGGACGTCATTTTGCCTCCTAAAAGAAAAGTCTCCATCCTAGTCCACTCCATGTCCAAGGTTGCCATCAAAACACCCCTGCCGACTTTAAAACCTCGGGCTAAGAGCTTTGTACTGAGGTCTGGCTTAGGCCTCGACATGGGTTGCGGCAACCTCCTTCTTGAGACACTTAGCCAATCTCGCGTAAGCTCCCATGTGATCATGAACCACGGGCTCCCAAGACCCGGGGAGAGGTCGAGCGTCAGTGATATCCTAATCCTATTTGGACTCTCTTATTGATGTCTTACTGCTCCTCAACCTACAAGAAATATGTCTATCACATTTAGGACATGAAATTGTATTAGGACTCCTAGTTACACTATTGAGCATATAGCATTGTACTTATACTGCTTCCTAACTTGAGCAATGGAGAGACGACACACCTTGACAATCTTTGTTTTGAGGTACAAGAAAGTTGAATTTGTGATCTCCTCGTGACTTATTCCAAAATCGAGCTCGAGTAATCTTATGTACATAATTTTGTAGCACGATACTTTCTTCCCATAAATGAATCACTCTTAAAAAAATCCCAATTATGAATGAACAAAAAATTTGAAGAACTTCAACGTGCAGACAAGAATGTAGGCTTACTTACATCGGGTACTGTGTTCTTGTGAAGAAAGAGACATGTCAAAGAGATGTAGACAAAAGAAACGGACGAGCTTACAACATTGAAATATCAAAAATTGAGTAGACAAAAAGTGACCTAAACCCACTAAAAAGGATGACAAATATCACGAACAAATACTACAATACAAAAGCTGCCAAAGAGTGAATTAAGAAAGTATGTAGCCTACTAAATACCAAAATGCCTTTCTGCCTTTTGTTTGTGTTTATTATTTATGCGCCTGTGAAGAATAATATGTAAAGGACAAGACAGATCTTGTCATTGTCATCGACAAGTACGGTTCCATCCGAATATAATAACACTTGTTTCCCGATTCCTGTGTGTGTCCAACGGTTTTCATTCATATACTACATACTTTCTGCTCTAATTTTACCGTTTTATTCTGAAAATAGAAAAGTAAAAAAGAAATAAAATAATTGCCCTTATATCTTTCATCTTTTGCCAACCACGTTAGTTTAGTCAACAGTGACATTGTTTGTCAACTTTTTGGAAAAGAATAAAAAGAAGAATATCTCTGCCTACACTAGAAAAATCTTCATCTAATGAACTGTATATTTTTTTCTCGAGAAGTTATATTTTAATGGCAAAAACGAAACAAAACTAATTTATGAGGCAAACATCTTGCCTTAAGTCCAGTAATGATATTGCGATATGTAAAGTGAACCATTTCAAGATATTAGTAGCTAAAGTAGAAAAGAAGAATGATGTTAAATCTCGTATGCCCTCGTCATACTTTATGTCACTAGTCATAAATTTTGTGAACTCTTCATATCCATCTTCAGTGTCCTCCTCGAAACAAGCTAATATAAATCTATAACCACGCAGGAAAATCACATCCCTCATCAATATCTCCATATATATACCCAAATGTAGGAACGGAGACATGGGTTCCTATGCTATAACCCCCTCCCCCCTCCAAAAAAAAAATGTTTTTTTTTTAAAGCAGTTTTTATGTGAATTTCATTTTTGTTGCCAGCATTGGAACAAAGTTGTTTTTGTCTGCCCTAAAAGTAGAAATTCGCATTCCTATAGAAGTGAAAGGTGAATCATCTTCATGACTCGTGGTATATTTTTCAAGTCCCATGTTGTCGGTATATAAAAGTTTGAATTCTAGGAAAGCTTTTTATACCGTGTATTAATTAATTAATTAATCAGAATTAATTATAGACAGTTTAGTCAAAGGATAATTCTTCTTGTACATTAGGGGTGCCATAATGGTATTCATAATGGACACATGGCACCCCACCATTGGAGAGTGTGTTGGCCAAGAATAAATATAACATAATAAACCCTTAAATGAAACATATACGAGCACCACGAATAAATAATCTTCTATAGGAGAAGAATACAATTATCTCGTATTTTTCGATGTTAGAATTTCTTTATAACATCAAAGAACCCCTAAATATAAAGCCAAAAACAACAAATAACTTCCACATTTTAGTTCTTTTGATTTGTTGAGTAACGAAATCGAGCACACGATCTTACGAGTTTTGCTACACGAACATAATGCTTGACATAGGAGATGACACAACGCACACATAGGGAGGTCGGCATTATTTAATTCAGGTCAAGACCTACATGCAATGTGAGTGGTCCGTCAACCCCTATGTCAAACATTATATTCATTTAGCTTAATTCTAATCTTACTTTACGTCATCCCTATGATTGAACCTTAATTACTCTACAAGTCAAAATGAGAACATTTTCTTATTTTCACACCGAAATGCAACTTTCATATGTGAATTCCTTTAATCACCAATTCACATTTTTTTTTTCAGAATTCTTGTAGAGAGTTTTTGGTGCTCAATACAAACCCACTAACTTTACCAATCGCTAAATTCCCCAAAACTTCTTCAAATTATTCGCTTTAAAGAAGTGAATTTGTTTAACTCTGTTCAAAAACATATTTTCCAACAATATATATCTTTTTCACTTCGTTCATTTACTGTAACATTGACTATTGTTTAACTTTTGTTTGCCATTGTTTAAGTTCATCGGATTCCTTTTTCTCATCTTCAGTTACAGTAGTGGAAAAAGGATTCTCAATAGCTTTTGAAGTTTTTTGTTGTACTAAAAGTCCTTTCATTTTTGTTGCCATATTAAAAAATTACATTTTTCATTAAAGACACCCAAATCAAAATGATACAAAGATATTTTAACAAATAATACACATAGAACGTAAGCAACCAACAAAGAAACAATCATACAAATAAAGTCTTAAGGGTTGCAGTTATACACCGATCTAAATTCTTAGGATTTTCGTGAGAATCACACCTCGGTCTCAAAGGAATTGTTGAGCGTGTACGGTCAAGATGACAGATCTAACAGATATTCAAATCGACAAGAAGTACATAAATGTGCAACAATTATAAAAAACAGTTCAAATCACAATTGTATCACAAGTATAGGTAAATAGCAGCAAGCAATGGTTACTCCTCTTAGTAACCCCCAATTCTATTGGCCTCCCCACACAATGGCCTACTATTGCAGAAAATTAAAGGTTTCAACCAATTTATCAGAGTCAACCTATCTGTGATCCGTAATTACGAGATATTCAAATTTTAATAGCAATTAATTTCAAGTACAAAGATCCGATATTTCCCATAACATGAGCTAGGGGTGGTCGTATGTTGGGTGAGGTCGATTTTTGCCCAACCCAACATGGTTGGTTTGATCTAAAATCAAACCTACCCATCATAATTATTGGTTTAAACCCAACCCAACCCACATCGATCAAGTTTGGTTTGGTTAGGATTGGATTGGATTGGATTAGTCGGTTCGGGCTTCGGCCCAATAAAAGTTGAATTTAATTACCTTTTTTTTTTTTAATTTAGATAATTTTTCAAAATTTGAAATTACTTCATAACCTTCTTTTTTTTATTCACACAAATATGAGGAATTCTTTCTGAAAAAATAATGTATAAATAAATTTAAATTTATGAAGTATTTTCGTTTTTAACAATTTGTTGGGATTCATTTTCATCATCATGTTCTTAACTTTTATTTTATCGTTAAATAACTTTGTATTTGTACATAGTATTCATGTCAATCAGTTTATATAAAAAATAGATGGACTTTTATAAATTATAAGTTCTTCTCTTATCGGCATTGTGCCTATTTAATTTATTTTTTTTTAATTTATCGGGTTGGGTTGGGTTTTAATTCATAACTTGAAATCCAACCTCAAATTTGATTTTTCAACTCAACCTTGTCCAATTGAACTTAAAAACCAACCTAAACTGATTGGTTGAGATTGGGTTGATCGAGTTGAGCAATTTGGGTTGGGTTTTGCCCAGGAGCCCAATCAGGCTTTGATACCACTTTGTAGAGAAAAAAGATCGTCACTTATCAATCAAATAAATACAATGTGTTAAATCTAATCAATAGGAAAGTAGAAATTAATGTAACTATAGTAATAAACAATACTAACCTATCGATTTATCTTGGATTGATAAAAAAGTTGATTTTCCGAGGCTCAGCTTAGGGACCCAAAATTACACAGCAGCACCACTCGAATCAGACCAAGAGAACCACTATTGGAACCACAAAGGAGTCGACCACAAGTCCTAAAAGGAGCAGCCGAACGG